CCATGGGGGATGGCCATGCCACAATCCCTTCTCCTCCATTCTCCTCTCGGGATCTCGGGCATGCACACACACGCACCCGGCATGAGTTTTAGGCCACTGGGTCCAGGACGTGAACCGCGGTCGACTACATGGGAGTCCAGCAACATAGCCATTCCGCTAACTGCTGGTCCCAATACTTAACTAACTTATTTTAAACCTGACAGTGTGCTATAACTGTCCACAGCACCAATGGTAAACAATTATGTATTTTGTTCCATGGAGAAGGTCTGCTGTGAAATGATCTAACCATGTGGACACCATTTTGGCATCAAACAAAAGAAGGGTGGAAGGACTCTGACCACATCCCAGACAGAGCGTGGAGGGCTCCGAGCTCTACTGATGTGACCAGGGCCGCTCCTGCCTCTGCTGCTGTGGGCTCAGGACGCAGTGAGGAGGGAGGAGAACCCAGATTATCTGCGGGGGCAGCTGATCCTACATGAGCAGACTGGTGGCGGGACAAGGCTGTGACAGCACCACGGCTGAGAACTTGTGAGGATTAAGGGACACACTGTGGACCCTGGGGGGAAGGGGACTGCTGTCATGTCCTTCCGGGAAGCTCAGATGAACTGGGTGCATTGAGTGACACAGCTCTAAGGAAAGCAGGCCTGGAAAGCAGTGACAGTGGGCATTTAGCTGATTAGGAAAGGGCTGAGGACGTGCCCTGGCGTTTTCTTACACTCAGAGTCAAGCCTGTACAGAGAGGGATCAGCTGAGGAAAGGGCTCGTAACCAGGAGGGAGCGAGAAGCTGCGAATGCAGGGAGTTCTTAGCGTGTCTGGTGGCAATCCTGCCAGTCTCTTCCTGTTCCCAGTCCCCTGAAGACCTCAGGGATGATGACCTTCCCCTGCCCTCTGTCTGCCTCCTGCCTGGTTGGGCATGTGCTCAAGGCCCCCCACATGAGGACAGGGCCTGTCAGATTGTCCATCCTCTAAGAGAATCAGGTGTCCTCTTCTCACATGGGCACCCAGAGACCAGGCAGGGGCTCTGTGCTCACGTGAAGCTCACCCGGGCAGAGCTAGACCTCTCACGTCTTTTCTCTGTGGTGCTCGGGGCATCTCCTCCCATGTGCTCACGTGAAGCTCACCCGGGCAGAGCTGGACCTCTCACCTCTGTTCTCTGTGGTGCTCAGGGCATCTCCTCCCTGAGAGCCTCACTTTGGCCTTCACCCTGCAAGAACCACAGGCCGCCTCCTTCATGTGGTGATGTCCCCAGGGGGCAGGAAGGGAGTTGCCTCTGTGAGGAGCTGCAGGTGTCCAGACTCATCCAGGTCTGCATCTTCCAGCAGCTGAAGTTCGCTGCACCCTCGCCGGGCAGCTGGGGCTGTCAGTCCAGGGCCCTGAGCTGTCCTCGAGAATCACTTTTCACCTGCCCACACCCACTGAGGCCCAGGCTGCAGGGTGGTGACTGCCCCACCTGCTGGCTCCTCCCAGTCTCTACACAGCCGTGGGACATCTATCATTCTCTGCAGTCTCTGCTCCCAGTGGCCATGATCAGCCTGGGCTAGTTCCAAACACACATAGAAAGGGCTCAGTTTTCTCTGTATAAGACACTGTTATTTGTCCATCTATTTATCTGCTGGTCTATATGGATGTGTACTCAGTGGCCAACACTTTCTGTCTGACTAAACTCCAAGTCGTGCTGCATCAGGACACGCAAACTTCACAAAATGCATGAACGTTTTCCAATGACGTACAAAGGACGGGGACAGCTCAGTACGGACCCCGTGGGCTTGTGCATGGAGAGCAGGCTCTAGGATTAAATCTCCTGTTTGAAGTGTGTGGGTGACTCTAATTTCAAGAAGGTGGAAATGCAGAGAGAAACCACAGGCCCCCCCAACATCCCCCTCTGAGCACACACCTGAGGGTGTCTTCCTACCAGCTCCCATCCCTGAAGGAAGAGCTCCCTTCTCCTCAGAGCTGTGGGATCCATCGAGGAAGGAGAGCTCTGGCCACGAGGGGGGAACCACAGGAGAGGAAAGGAGCGTGTCCTGCCTAGCTGGGAAGTGAGTCCATGGGGTGGTCACTGCTCTGGGCTGAGCCTGACCTGAGAGATCTCTGTGTGAGAGACCTTCTCAGTCCAGACCTGTTAACTGCCATGGGGGTTGTGGACAGATTCGGCTCTCAGGAGTCTGAGCAGAGCACAGAGACTGCCCTGAGGTAAGGGGGAGCCACAGAACGGGACCTCACTGACCTTGAGGGTGGGGCCGTGGACAGGGCAGTGGGGAGGCAGGGCTGTCTCTTGGATTCTGGTCACCAGGACACAGGAGGTTATCTGTGGGCCTGGACACAAGAGGGTGCTCAAGGTCTATTGGTAGAGGATCTGGGCCTGGTCAGAGCCGGGAGCCCCCACCTGGCCCTGCCTGTTGCCCTCCCAGCATGTATCTCTCACCCCTGGGCCCACACAGCCCCACCCCTCCCTTGCCTGCCATCCTCAGGCAGAGGGGCCTGACCCCAGAGCCAGGTGGGACCAGCAAGCTGGCCTTGGGGGCTCATTTGCATGAGGGGTCATCCCCCTCTAAGAGCATTAAAAGGGGCATGGGCCCTGCTTCCTCCTCTTGTCTCTAGATTCAGGACCATCCTCTCTGTGTCTCTTCCACCTCCAGGGTCCTGGGCCCAGTCTGTGCTGACTCAGCCGTCCTCCGTGTCTGGGGCCCTGGGCCAGAAGGTCACCATCTCCTGCAAGGGAAGCAGCAGCAACATCGGGAACAGCAATTACGTGCACTGGTACCAACAGCTCCCAGAGACGTCCCCCAGACTCCTCATCTATGAGAATAACAATCGGCCTTCAGAGATGCCTGACCGATTTTCTGGCTCCAAATCTGGAACTTCAGCCTCCCTGACCATCTCAGGGCTCCAGGCTGAGGACGAGGCTATCTATCACTGTCACTCCTATGATGACAGCCTCAAAGCTCACACAGTGCTCCAGGCCAGGGGGGAAGTGCGACAAGAACCTGCTGTCTGCCCAGCCCTGGGGCTTCTATGCTCAGCGCCCACCCAGGGACAAGTCAGCTGCTCCCTCTGTCTGTTTGCCCTGACGCTGGGGGCTGGGCTCCTGTCCAGGGACATGTGTCTAGACAAAATGCCCTCACCTCTCCGATTCTGCCCCCAACCCAATCTTCTAACGATAATATAACACATGAGTATTTATCTCAGAGGATATTCCTGGAATCCGGGAACAATGCCTGTGTGCTGGGGATCCTACAGGAAATGTCACAGGCTGGGCATCTTCACAAAGAGAGATTTATTTCCTCTCAGGTCTAGGGCCTGGAAGTCCAGGGCCACTTGTCAGCAGGTTCGTTCCATCTAAGTCCTCACTCCACGGTCTGCAGGTCGCTGTCTCTGGCTGTGTCCCCGCATAGTGACCCCCTGGGGCTTGAGTGGTTTGTGTCCAGATTTCTTATAAAGACATCAGTCCTCAGGAATTAGGACCCCACCTTTAGGATCTGATTAACCCTAATGGCATTCACCCTAATGGCATTTGAAGAGACACAATATTAAAATACAGAAAGACTGGGGGTGAGGTTCTCAGCATGTGTATTAGGAGTCTACAGACCACTTCTCTCAGGGATCAGGGAAGATGGAGGACACAGGGTCCAACTGGGTCTGACTCAGGAGAGCCACCTGCCTGGAGGGCATCCATCCACGGCATTTCCTGAACCTCTACTGTGCATCAGGCTCCATAGGTGGGTGCAGGGTTCAGCACTCGGTGGAGACAAGACAGGAAGGACCCCCTCCTCAGAAAGCTGACATCATCTGAAGGAACACAGATGACGTAAATAAAAGCAGCAGTCAAAGTAACCATGGGGGCCCACCAGTGGTGTGATGGTTAAGGCACTGGACTCCCACATAGCTGACTGCAGTTTTCGTCCTGGACCTGGGATCTTGAAAATGACACTGGTTGTGAGTACGTGCATGCGGAAAATCCCATGAGGAAAACGGAGAAGGGAGTGTGGTATGGCCATCCAGTACTGGGTGGGGGGGATTTCTCACGTTCCCTCTCATGGTCTCTCTCCAGCGAGCACATGTGCCAAAACTCAAAAGAAAAAGGAAAAAATTGTCATGTATGTTTCAAGAAAATGAAAATGGTTGCATGTGGAGGGTTGGGGTCTTCACCTTGGGAGTTTCTTCAATATCAGGACAAGACAAGAATGCCCGTTTCCTACCTCAGCCATGTTGGAAGATCTAACAGAGCAAAGAGAGCAATGAGAAAACCAAGGAAAAAAGAGATTAGAAACAAAGAAATTAAATAGTTTCTGCTTTCAGACACTTGATCTTATAGGTAGACAATCCTTTAAAAGACCTTCAAAAAGGGGGCCAGCAGGTGGCGTGGTGGTTAAGGGCACTGGACTCCCACAAGGCCGACCATGGTTTGAGTCCCAAACCAGCTTGCTCTCTCTCTCTCTCCCCTCTC